ATTTCTACTATTTTAACTATTGAGACTAATTTTTTTTTAGTTTGATAATAATTAAGACAATAAATTTTTAAATAAAATAGATTAAAAAATTCCAAATAACTATTATAAGACTAAAAAAATATTTAAAAAAATATAATCCAAAAAAGAATAAAAAAGAAACTATTAAGATATAAACTTTTTATTCTATTTAAAGAAAAAAATATCCTAATAGATATTATTTTATTAAGAAAAAGTTTTAAAAATTGATTTTTTTTGAAAAAAAATTAATTTTTTTTTAATTCATAGTCAGATCAATATAAATTAACTATTTTATTGTAAATATATTTTGGTATTATGACTTTCATATATTGATTTACCCATCTACAAAGTTTAACCTTCTCTAGATGCAACTTAAGGGACAATATTTTGTTTTCTTTGTGGTTTGGATTATCCTCTAGCCACTCAAATTATTGTATACAACTTATCACTATAGATCTCCTAAAGTTTTAACTATAATTAAAAACTAAACCATTTAAAATCTTTAAATATTGAACTTTATTCATTCTGAGTCTTCTTCTTTTTCTGTTATATTTTGGAGAAAAAAATAGAGAAGTGGTTGACTTCCTTAAGGACTCGATCCATTTTTCTAGTTGTATTAGCTGGTACTCTCTCTAAGCCTTTTGAGTTTACTAGTAATTCCTTGGTTTTATTTTTATTTGATAATAATGCTATAGTGCTTGTTTCAGACTTTCTTTTTAAAGATCTTTCTTATTTCTTTACATAATTTACCAATAGCCTCTTATATTATTGTTACTGGGATTTTGAAGACTTTGAGATACTCTTCAAGAAACTTGATCTTATTTTTATATATAAAGTTATTGATTATGTTATATAAGTTTTCATTCTATTGTTTGATGTCCTGGATCTATTTCCTATTATTTTTTTAACTTCTGCCTAGATTTTATCAGATAAGTCTTTTGTTTTTCTGATATACTGAAGGATTTTACTTAAGATTTGTTCTATATAATTGATCTTTTGTTTTAAGTCTTAAACATTCAAATAGATGTTTTAAGTTTTTTTTTTTTGTGACTTATATATTAAGTAAATTATGCTTAAATATAAGTCTGGTTTTTTTTTTGTATTATTTAAAAAAGTAGGAAGCTCATCATGGATTATATTTATTAAAAAACTCTTGTCCTTATTAATATTAAAGAAGATGTAAAAGGTATTGTATGAATTGAATTGTCTCCAGAAAATTTGTCAATCAATTTCTTTACTAGGGTATATTCATCAGTCTTGGATACATTTTTGTTCAGTTTAAGCTAGTCCTATTTTCTTTGCATTCTATTTTTAAAGAAAATCTCTAATACTAATATCAATAGTATGGTTCTTCTAGGTTATTATTGTGAAAATTTGATCCAAATTAGATGTTTGTTATCAAATCAAAGAATTTTTTCCTCTGGCTTACTTTACTAATCTGTTTACTATATTGTTAAACTTATTGTCTTGATAAGCCTTAATCTTTTCAAGTATGAAGTGAAGATTTTTCATTCATACTAGATCCTTGATTCAGGTTTATAATAGCCGGTTGAATATTTTAATTTATTCCTTATAAAAATAAACTTTTGTAACTAGATTGTCTTCTATATTTTGATAGCCATACTACAATCTGTATATATGATTGCTTTTTTATTTTCAGGTAATGTAAAAATTGTAGTATAACTAGGATTTCTGCCCTTATAACTGATAACTATGATATTTCTTTTGCTGGAAATTTTTAAAAAAATTAAATTTTTAATATTTTTTTTGTTACATATTTGTGTATTTTTATTTTTATTTTTTTAATTTAGAATTATATCATGATAGCTTGTCTTTATTGAGAAATTAAAATAAATATATAATAATTTATAGACTTTTATAAAATAACTAACTTATCTTTATACATAAGTAATTTAAATCAGATTTTAGAAACAATATTATATTTTCCCGATAGATTGATAATGACCTTTATCTATTAAGATTATAATCATTAGTTTGTTACTGTTGATTATCCAAAAACTAATAAATTGCTAAGTTAAAAAAGAAAAAGAGAAAAATAATTGAGAGAAAGAAATAATTCAAAACTTATCAAAAAAATTCAAAAATAAAAACAACCTCTTCTTAAAAGGAATCTAACTGATTAAAATAGTCTTTTTGCTTCATTTGAATCTTAAAAAAAAATTTTATTTTTTTATTTTTTGTGGTATCAGATGAGTCAATTCAATTGGTTTTTTATTTAAGTAAGCATTGAATTGGGATATTTCAAGGAAAACATTTAGACCTTAGCTTTTTTTTATTAAAGTTTTATCACTACTTGAGAAATTTATGTAAGTGATAAAAGTTTACATTCTATATTATCCATTATTGGATCTTTTGATATTATGGAAGTCTTTATTAAGGAACTTGAACTTTTAGTGATAAATGTTTCTAAAACCTACTTTCCAATTATTAATAATATCATCCAAACATATAAATATGATCAATAGAAGCTTATTTATATTTCAAAAACTAATATATATTATTAATTACCTTTGTTAAGGATTTGTATTATCCAAAATTTAGGATCAAACTAATGTAGGCAAAATTCCCTAGAAAATCATAAAAGTGAAAGCTTTAAAAGAATTAAGACAATTAAAAAGAAAAAAAATAAGTTTTTTTACTGCAGAAAATCTCTATAAATCTCTTGTTTCAAAGGTTAGATAGACCTTTAGATACTTTATAATTAGTTTTTCATCTTTTGAAAACTTTTTTATTGTTGGTATTAAAGATGTTACTTGACTTTTCTTAATCACTAGGAGGCAAGTTTTTGAGTAAAAAAGTTTATAAACAAAAGTAAAAGGGTAGAAGTGACTCTTAAAGTTTTATTTTAAATTATTTTAATGAAAGTATTAAGACTTTATTAGCAAAAAAGTATAAAAATTTCTTATAAATATCTTTTTGTAAGTGATTAGAAAATTAGTAAAAAGAGTTTTTTATATTTGTAAATTTTTATATTTATTTTCTTTTATAGTTTTTTTATTAACTAATGATTTAATAGAATGTATAATAGTAACAAATTATTAATTATAATATAAAAAAACTAGAATAATTTTTATTTAAAATTTTTTTAAACCAAAATATTATTCATAAGACTTGATTTAGAAACTCTTTATATCTATAGTGAGTTAATTAAATATTATATAAATGTTTAGCTATAGTATTTTTTTATTTAGCTTTGATAAAAAAATATATATATATATATTTAGAATTATTAAATTACTATTTAACTTAATTATATATATTATAAAAAAATAATAATAAAAAATAGATGGATAAATTTACAATTTTCAAAAATAATAAATCTATATTTAAATTTGTTTTCAGTCTGTAATATTAATAGTTAAAAAAGTATTTTTTTAAACTATTGATATTACAAAAAATTATTTTCAAAGTTATATTTAGAATTAATTAATAAAACTAAATAAGTTATCTAAAGAATAAATATTAGTGATATATAAATATATGTACAATATAAAATATTTAGTAAAACATATATAGCTAATCTAACAAAGAATCATAAAATAATAATAATAATAAATCTGTGTTTAAATTGGTAAACATAAATAAGTTATTTAATAATATTCTTTTATTAAAGTGTTAATGTATATTTTACTATTATTTTCAATTGCAAAAAAAAATAAAAGATATAATAAAATAATAATCAAAACCATTCTCAAATATAATTATACTGTATATACAGTATATAAATTTATAAATTAATAAATGGATTTTTTATAATCTTTTTATAAGTTTAAACAAAAATCAATTCAGTCACGTGCAAAATTACAGTACAGTATATTTAACGAATCGAGATGAGTTACATCGTGTGGAATTCGAATTAGTAACTTTTAAATTAGAATGGTGACCCCATTGTTTCCCCTTAGGCAAACTTATGTTTATGACAAGATAATTAATTGGTTTCCGGGTCATATGGCGAAGGGGTTAAGGGTAATATCAGAAAGGTTATCAAGTGTTGATGTGATAGTTGAGGCAAGAGATTCTAGGATATCCTTTGTTATAAATGCTATTTACTAGACCGAGCAAGTAATATATTATTATTAACATTGCACGAAATTTTTTCCGAAAAGATTACATCCCTTTATCATCCATAAACGATAAATTCGAAGAAATATCACGATTTAAAGAACGAATCATAGTCTATAATAAGAGCGATCTGGCGGAGGAGAGCACCCAGGATGTATACTCGCTTTCTTCTTCTTCTTTTTTTTTTCGTTGATCAATTCATCAAATTCTTTGCCTCTTAAATAAGGCGATAAAGGATGCGTTCAAGAAATATCGCAACCAACACGTGATATTTACAAATGCTAATATGGACAAAAATGTTAAGATGATAATTGATTTTGCTGCAAGTAGGTATTTCCCTCATCCTAATTCCTAGGATCAATAAATAAACATATACTGTACGTGTTTGCTCAAATTATCTTATGTGATCACCGGCAAAGACAAAGCAAAAGAAAGTCCAGAAAAGTATCCGTTTGTCACGGTGATGGTGGTGGGAATGCCGAATGTTGGAAAGTCGTCGCTAATAAATTCTATGCGAAGGATCGGTGTACATAAAGGTGAAACATGTCCTATCATTATTTGAGTATTCTTGAGAATTCGGGTCGTTGATGCATAAAGTCTTGGCGCAAATAGGGAAAGCAGCAAGAACTGGGGCATTGCCGGGCGTAACAAAATCGGTATCCGGGACATCAATCAAAGTCTTGGAGAATCCTACTGTTCATTTAATTGATACACCAGGTATAATTTCCCAATACATTTACTCCTTATTCCTTTTGTAATATGAGTTATAATAATAATAAAATATATATATAGGCGTCATGATACCATATATTTCAGATCCAGTGCGTTCTTTGAAAGTCGCATTAACAGGTATCTTTTGTAGCTTTAAGAAATCGAATGATTAATTTTTTGTATGTCATATGCAATTAAGCGGTGAATTTGATTTGCATTTTCTTCTTGACCTCGTTTTAGGCGGCATAAGGGATCATTTGTCAGATGAAGAGGTGATGGCAGATTATTTGCTTTGGAGACTAAATCATTTCGGTAACTTTAGGTAATCTAATTGGGTCATTGTTACTATTTACCGTCATCATACATTTGTTGAATGTTCAATATTTGTAGCTACGTCGAAAAATTTAAACTTTCCGGTCCAACAGATGACATTCACTCACTCCTTCCGGCAATCGCAAAACATATAGGTGCCTTGCACAAATATGGCGAATACAACTTGCAACAATCTTCCATGTTCTTCATCAAACAATATAGAAATGGAAAATATGGAAGATACACTTTAGATGATGTCTCGCCAGAAGGATTGGTGTCATATTTCGAGAGAGAGGACGATCCAGAAAAGGAAGCGCCAATGAGCAAGAATCAGGAGAAAAAGATGAAATGGGCAGCTGTCACGGAGAAAAGATTGGAAAGGTGGAAGAGAAAGGGATTTCTGACGGGGAAGGGTTCACGGAATTAGAAAGAAGTCTAGTTGAATAATGCTTGTATGCGATACGAAGGCCGGCAAATATTAAAACAAATAGCTGGATAATACAGGGGATGGACAAATGAAAGTGTTGCACTCACTCTTTTGCTCATCCCCTGTAGATGTTCAACTGATTTTTTTTTCAAATAACCTTAACAGGAACCAACAATAGTACAATATAAATCTAATGTACCATTCACGCACAATATTCAACGTTTATAAGTGCTTGTTAAATCTAGAATTTTTTTTTTCCTTTTTTTTTTAAAAAAAATCTGCTAGATTAAAATTATTGCGATGTTTATTTATAAAACTAATAAAATGACATTTATAAGTACATTTATGTTTGCGGAGATTAGACCCAAAACTTTGCATCAAGCATTTCCCGGAAATGTTGTGGAATTCTAATAATAGAAAAGTAGGACACAGAGAATATACTTCACGAAGACTATTAAATGTTCGTCTTGAAATAATAAAGCCTTAAATTGCATTGCTATGAAGAAGAATGACTCTTTTGAACTATTCGAAAGACCTCATAGTCCTCGACCGAGAAGGGGGTAGGAAGTTGCCTGATAGATTTCTCATAGTATTCCTTTTTACAAGTGGATTTACATTCTTCCCTGAAGTTTTTCCCCTGAATTCTTAGATCCCCAAACCACGGACCAGCGTTATCATGATTTAATATTGCATAGTTTTCACGTATCACCCTACTCCACACCACCTTTTCCGGATCCTTTGTGTCGAAACCAAAAATAAAAGCATTTTTTGCGTATCGATATCCACCAGAGTTGGAACCACAAGACCATCCATTAGGATTATATCCTCCAAGTATCTCGCGTGTTCCGCATACTTTAATTATTACCACCGTTGGTCCGCGGTCATCGCAATGTTCATGGAAATCCCTCGGTGTGAATCCATTTACGCTGCCTCTTAACAATAGCTCGAAAGTATATGGAGATTCTTTATAACTTTGATAGGTCTCAAATCCATAATCGCATTCGGAAACTCTGAAATCAATCCAACTTGAGATCAGGGACGCGTGTTTAGTAGTAATCAATTTGGATTTAATCGGTCCGCGTCGTGGAAAAGAAAGTGAATTAATTGGTCGATGTTTTTTGAAGAAAGTCGACATGATGGATCTATAATGATCTGGCGGAAAAATCACTTCAAAAGGTTGAACCTTATTCCAAAAATCTTCCCTCGGAATGTGATGGAATTTTATTAAGGGAAGGCAATCTTGCAACGCTTCTTTTAAATTAATGAAATCTTGATCATCCCAAGATTCAATGTTATAATTTTCTTCACCGTGAGTGGCTAAGGAAACTTGCGCCATTCCCCATTCGACGACATTCGTCCAAATGTCAAGTTCTTCCAATTGCAGGTCTTGTTTTTTCAACAATTCGATCAATATCTCCGGTGTTAAGGTGTGAAAATCTAAAGACTCAAAAATGTCCGTAGGATGATTCTCAAGGATTCCGGTGCAGAAATTTCGCAGATGACCAAACGATTGAGAGTTAGACACTTCGAAAACGGTAGAAAAATGACACACTAGCCAATCATAGTGATTTTCGAGGAGATCCATTTGCATGACGTTGAATAAGTCCGTTATGTTGAATTCATCAAAAGCTTGAAGAAGCTCAAGGATTACATCAGGTTGGTAGTCGGATAAATTCAATGCCCCTCCATAGATATACCTGTGCACAACGAGCATTATACATTATGGTACAGTTAAGCAATTACAATGTATGTATGTTACACCTTACCTTAGTATCTTGTCAAATATAACTGGCCTCAAATTAGGTTTTTCGAACGTGAACAATCCGTCTTTGGAACGCGACCAATTCTTTGATAAAGCTGCATCGAAATAAGCTGATCTTGCGCTCAACACCACAGAATGTGCTTTAAATGTTTTGCGATTTTCACCCTGACCAACGGTAATCAATAAATCGCAATACTTTTGCGCTTCGTAAAATTTTAGAAAATCTTGGGACAAGATGGCCAAAGTAGTTTCCAGCATTGTAAAATTGGTTGATATTAAAGAAAGAGCTTATTTTTTATGTTCACATACTCAAATTGTCTTTTGACATTTTTAATTAAACCATTTCAATCAGAGGACTTATCCGAAAAATCGTTGGTCCTATCCTATCCTATCTACTAGAAGGATGGTTATGCAACCTGCATGCGAACATAATCAAGCGTGTAACAATGATTCTTTGAAAGCTTCCAAAACTGAAGCTTACGACGATAACGGCATGTACTGCGAGGCGAGGTCCCGTCACAGACAAGTCGTGTGACACCATAGCGTGTGAATAATTAGAATGCACACTACGTAATTGTCATATACTGATTTACCGGGATTTTTTTTTTACATGCATTGTATAAATGAATAATTCGTTCCTTTGTTTCAAAATTGTCTACCGCCAACTCAAGAAAGATTTTCATACATACAGTATGCGTTTTACCCACTAAAGAACACAAATGAATTGTTACATTCGGATTCTTCTTTTTAATGTACAGTACAGTATGTATAAGGTGGTTTGCAATTTAGGAACTTGTTCAACAAAAAAACCATTTTCATTAATTCATATACGGTATAATAGAAAAAATAAGATAAAAAAAAACGAAAATTCTATATTTGTTTATAGGAGATTAAAAATATTTCAAAGAACGTACCGTTAACATTGATCATACTCAAATCAACGATACCTTTAATGCGTTTATTGATTTAATATACTGTATATTTAAAGATTAAAAAAAATCATTGGTGTATTATTTTTGGCATTTTTCAAACATATGGTATATAAAAATAATTATTTTTTTTGTTGTATTTTATTATTAAATAAATATTCAAAAAAATTGACAATAAAACAAGAATAAAGATTATCATAAAATTTGAAAGAATTTCAAGGTTCAAATGAAAAATATTAAAACAAATTAGTTAAAATTGCATCACATATAAAACAATAGAACATTTTGTGAAATATCTAATCTATAAAGATAAAGTCAAGAAAGCTTGGTTTAAAAGAATAGATATAATATATCAAGAATTTCGCGGAGTAATATAGAAACTAAAAAAAGAAGATCAAGAAAACTATAGCAATATCCTGATAAATGATAGCAAGAAACTAAGGAAAATAGAAATATATAGTAAATAGCAAAACTTATAAAGAAGGCATTCAGAAATAGTCAAAATATAATCAACTTCTTAACAGAACTAGTAAAAAAAATCCATTGATAAAAATTAGAGAACTAAAATATAATAAAAGAAAAATTGAAACCATAGTTAAAAAATAGATACTTTATTATCAAAAGAAGAAATAATCATCAAAACAAGTATTAAAGAAGAAGTATATCAAAATCATATATTAGAAATACTTCAGTGTAATCAAGGATTCAATCAAAAGCTGACTTTCTATTCAGATGGCTCACTTATCGATCATAGAAGTGATATGATGAAAATGGGAGCAGTATGGATCCAAATTAGTGAAGCAAACAGGAGTAGATAATTGGCCCTTATCAACAAGAGCAAAAATAACAGCAATAATCACAATACTCCTAGTAGCTC